GTTCAACATACTTAGCATACAATCTTCTTAAATAATATCAAGAGAAAGCCCTAGTTAATAGAGAAATGACCGAAAGAAGTCTAGCTATCAAATCTTACCATACTCATTCAAATAGTCCACTAGCAACCAAACAAAAATATCCGAAAGAACCGCAGCGTCAGGGGAGCTGACTGCAAGGGGGCAGTTGAAATCCATCTTAACGTATGCCTTCGGTTTGAAGAACTTTTTATCAGGCTTATACCACAATCTTGAGTATGATGTCTTTCTCAACAAAACAGGAAAGATATCCTGTTCCAGAACTTGATTACGTGATATAAGATAACTGCTTATACATTAAAATTTGAAAGACAGTTGTGAATTGTAACTAGAATGTTGGTAGAAACTGAACCTTATCCTTAAAATCCTTTAATGAAAAATCTGTAGGAATGAAGACATTAGGTGTTGGTAGAAGCAGGTTTACATCAGGGGCAGACTGCACCCACTCCTGTAATTGTTAAGCACAAACAAAAATTGAACTTCCTCCAAACAGAATATAAGTTTGAGCACCGGAGAATAAACATGCAAGTATAATCGGATCTTCAAGAAATTAATACATTAAAAGCCAACCTGAATAGTGAATTTGGTTATCTTCTCAAGAGAATAAGCAGTGTTATACCATGGCTCAACCTTGTCAGTTTGACCTTCAAATTTATTTGACTCCCAAAAGATTCTACATATATAATGGCATTAGATTCTGTGACATGACGAGCTTACTAGGCCGTAAGCAGTCAGGATTTCAATGCTTAAACTATCTGTAAATTCTATGAACATGACACATTGGGGACTGAGGGCTGCTTAAAGTAAACCGCCAAAAAGCTAATGGAAATTTTGCATAAAATAGAGATCATATGGCCGATAGCAATAAAAACATTTAGCACCGTCCTCAGCTTTTCTCAGAATGAATGGGACAAATACAAAATTAGCTTGGTGAAAACCTATTGAGATTATAAGACATTTAGAAAATAGTAGGCAGCAAGGCATGCATTCCAGGAACAGAGACTTACCGAACATTATTGGGAGAAAGCTCATCGAGAACCTTTTGTACAATAGCTGGATTAAATTTCGAAGGCAGTGATGATCCAACTAGCCAATGCTTGGTTGGATATATCTGAAGCATAATTGCAAAAGGACACAGAAGATTTTTTCAAAAATATACAAAAAAAATGTCTAGCCAAGAAACCAAGTTCCCGAACTTCAGCCACAGAGATCAAATTTCATATAGGTGAACTAGAAATGCTTGATAAGATTGTAAGAGGTAAACATCTATTCCACTTCTTGTTCATCATAAAGGCCATATACATATATCAAGCAAAAATAGGTATATAAGAAGCTTAAACGATATAAAAAGTATGATATGTGGATTGAACAGCTGAAAAATACTATTACCGTCATGTTTGATGAAATATCCACTGCATAAGAAATTGGGTCTATTTTGCCTTGATAATGAAATTCTGCCTCACATATAGCTGAGAGCTATAACAACAATAACAGATGTATCATAAAGAAAACTAGGCAGATTAAAAGCAGACAGCAACACAAAAGGTGGAAACTTAGTAACACCAATACCTCATCAAAAATCCACTGGGAAACACCAGACTGTTGTAAAACCTTAATGTGTTTGAACAATAACCCTAAAATATCTTGCATATGCTCTGTATACCAATCAAGAAATCAAACCAAATTCAGAAAATATCAGGTACTGACTAAAACATCAAGCACACCGATACCATCTAATCAACATAAGAATATTAGAACAAAACAAAGAAGAATGCAGAAACCCACCATGACCAGCATCAGTAAGATCAATCGAAACATTGAAGAAAGAATATTCCATACTCCAGTCTGCTTCGCCAGCATACAGTCCTGTTGCCCAACCTGTGCAAATATTAGGAAGAATTAAGCAAGAGTCTAGATGTCGAGCTGCTAATAGCCTAATGCACACGTTCACATCATAAAAAATTAAGTAAACAAGCAGCTGAGAAATAAAACCCTATTCGACTAGAATGGAACTTCTCTAGCCAGCTCCACAAAATCCTCCAATGTTACTGTCTAGCCATAAGCTTTTTAGTGCAGCCTATATGACACGCTAAGAAATGGCAGAATTTTTCTAGCTAACATCTACTGTTGAAGCAACAAATAGCTGTAGTTTCTGAAGCACTTCAATAAATATCTGTGAGACAACCTAAAAAGTGTGCGTAGTATTCACAGCAGATAAGAACAAGGAAAATAAAGATCAAGCAAGCAACAACTTCGAAATTCATACAGAGGAAACAATTAATCTTTCAGATTTCTAGTCACTATTAGCAGCAACAGCTTATCCTCCAAAAAATAAAGACATAAGTATGAAAACCAGAATTAGAGAGCTGAAGCCTACAATTACTTTGCAATTTATCTCTTTCAGGTAGAATCTGCTCAAAATTTTATTAGTTTGGCCTTAAAGAAAACCTACCTAAGATTTTTAAGGCATGAAACAAACTTCCTTCGCCTTCATGACCAATTAGATCACCAAGATACCTGCATGGTGCCTCTTCATAATGATAGATGCTAGGAGTTACAGGCCATGAAACACTAAGCTCGTGACCCTGCATTATAGGAACCGCCTTCACGAGAACCTAAAACCAATGAAAGCCACAACCACAGAAGATACCACCTTAGAAACATTCTAGCATGAATTTATCTTCGTTTACTGTAAATGCTAAAGCTAGAATAAGGAACAAAACCTGCAAATGGTCTAGAGTACACGGCTGACCAGGAAATCTAGGAATACCCTGGTTAGTGTTTCGAATTCCCTGGAACAACTCTTCCACTAGACCTTGAGTTTTATCAAGATTTTCTGAAGAAATCCAGAGCAAAGAGATGTATAAATGTTATATATACTAATACTTTTGTTTTCTGAAAGTAATAAAAATCTGAGTTTTGGGTTAGCTCCTAAACGTACCCTTGCCATAAACAACCAAATGCATGATGTTGGCAGAATAGTGTTCATCATAGAATTTAATTAGTTCACTCCTTGTATCCACTCCATTTGCTTGGGGTCGTACATGAAGAGTATCCATGTTCCCTAAGCAAAAATATCACTTTCTTAGCAGGATATATAAAATTGGGAAGGACCACTGACTTTTCTTATGCATCACAGCACCAAATCTTGTTCCATGAACGCCAGTCAATACCAAATAAGAATAGGTCGAAGATAAACCTGTGTTAAATCTGTGATATGGATGGTCTTCTCTACTTAACTGCTTCTGTAACTGTGTCAAAGAAAAAAGAAGACAAAGTTCAACTTAGATGTTACAAACACATCAACAGACTTGTTCAAAAGAAAACCAATGAACAGTGCCAATAACCAGATGGATAGATATAGTACAATTAACCCAGATATTTGTTCTACAGAGAAGGGAAAAATACCTGGCCCATACGCCAAGAATCAGACAACAAGTTTTTCTGATGCTCTGGATGGGAGAACTTGTTAGAATTTGTATTATTAACAAATTTCAACAGGAAAGCTACAGAGAAATTCAAAATTTAACCAGAGTCGACAGCCTTGATCTCCCTCATGGTGGCATCAGTTGACATGAGTGGTTGGATAAAGAACTGTGCAAACCTGGTGAGGCAATAACATAAGAAGTCAAAATGAAAATTAGTAAGCAAGAGAGAATAAAAAACAAACAAATGGAAGTCCACCTGTCCAAAGCTTCATCAAAAGAATCAGTGTTGATATCGAAATGGTAGTTTGTATCTTCACTGGATGTATAAGCATTTGTGCTTCCTCCATGCTAAAAAAGAAAACAGGATTCCAATAAGCACATCCCATTTTCTTCCTAATAAAAGTTTCCTTAAACTAAGAGAAGAGACCGATGGAAGAAGATCAAATTACGAGCAAGATTATATGCCAGAGCTGGATAAGAACATTACCTCTGTAATATTCTTGGAGTAACTATCTTCCTCAGGGTATTTTTGACTAGCATAAAACAGCATATGCTCTGACCCCCCAAAAATAATAAAACGAGCAGCATAAAATCACAAGTTATTCACCATGGCCATCAAAATCCACACTAAAAATCGACTTCAGATCACAGGAAAGAGTTGATAAATCACTGTTTATAGAGACAGTTGAGACTCAGCTCAGTGATTGAATCCTGGTATGAAGAAGAGAAGCATTAAAACACGAGAATAAAAGTACCAAGGAAATGAGCTAGCCCTTCCAACCCTTGTGGGTCCGAAAACGATCCAACGCTAACGTTCATAGAAGCAGCACACTAGAATGAATGAAGCAGGTAAACACAGATAAAATTTCAGCTCTTGTTTGTTTTAGCAGCAAAATTATAACAGGAATCGAGTTTTACCTTGTCAGTCTCTGGGTCGCTGATTAGCAACACCTCCAGCGAATTCTTCAGAACAATCCTCCTATAGTCTCTCTTGTCAGTGCGTGGCTTCAGTATCTCGCCACATTCACCAGACGCCGCTGTCTTCGCCGTCGCGTTCTCCGTTCCAACCAGCATCATCTCCGTTCGATTACTTGGGATTGTTTAGTAGGCATCTCTTATGAATGTCTCTACTACGTCTTTCATTTATTTTCGAAGAGGAAGCAAGCAAGGACAATAAATTATCTAGTGTGGTACAGTCTACTGTCTACATAGGACCCACATGTTGGTAAAGATCCGACGGTGAGAAAAGCCAATTTTTAGTCTTTCTTTTATCGTGTGACTGTGAGGCGAGAAGAAATTATCCAGTGTGGTTTTTTCGTATTAACGGTGTATGTTATCGATGATTGTGAGCCTCTCTCTATGTTTCCAAAAGCTTAATTTGGCAGCCATTTTGAACTGTATATATAGTGAGAACTAAAAGCATATGTTCCATTGGATAGAGGACACTATAATCAGAGGAACTTTCTCAAAGAATATAATATAAACTCTGTGATTGAATGTAAAAGAATAATACAATGTAACTCGTTTATGCTTATATGAGAGGCAAGGACTCTAGTGCTTAACATTTGTGACAAAATTGTCTCAACAAGAACAGAGTAAGTTTGACCTGAAGAGGCAAAAAGAACAAGAGATCTACCCAATGTTGAACAAAATCCATAACAGAAGAAATGCACAATTGGCTAACAAAACAACTCAAAGAATATGGAGTTTCTTTTCTTCCTTTACATGGCTGTGTTACAAAGAATGATACAATCACACAAATATAAAACCACTTCACTTCACTTCCCTTCTTCTAGGCTTTAGAAGTGCCACGATGATCCTTATCGATATGCTTCAATAGATCCACCGGATCACGAAACCCTCTGCTACATTTAGGACAAACATCAACTGTAACTTTGCCACAATTCTGTTTTCCATTCTTCTCTTGCGTTTTCCCTGAATTACCATCACTACCACTCGCAAACTGTAACTTCTGGCTAATATCGTTACCGAGTCTGCTTATACTTGCTTCCGCAGAAGCGAAAAGACTAGACCATCTCGAAGAAGACGATGATGATGATGGTGGAGGAGCTTCTTTTGTGTTTGTACTCAAGAAACCCATGAATGAGAAACTCGAGTCAGGCTTCTTGGGTCCAGAACAACTATGATCAGGTCCAAACCGATGTTTCAAACAATGATCGATGCTGCAATCTCGACATTTTATAGTGTTAGAGAATGTCAAGAGTTCTCTGCATCTTGGAACAGGACATTTCTTCTTCTTGACAGCTTTTTCGTAGTTAGAGGGATCACAATCTGTATTAACATGTTTCTCCCAGGTAATGTTGGGATCTTCGTCAGGGTTTAATCTAACTCCTTTAGCACATAAAGGACAGATAACCACAGTGACATCTCCTCTGTTTCCTTTTGGACAATCGTGTTTCATATAGCTACGATGATCCAGACAAAACACCTTCAATTAAAAGTTTCAAGATATAAGCAAATGAATGATTTCAATCGTTTATCATTTATGGAAATTGATCACAAAGAGAAGTCGATTAGTCTAGATTCAAATCAACTACTGAATTTGAACATAAGAAGAGACGAAATCATTTTCCAGTCTAAATCATATCATGGACTTGAGATTTGGAGAAGCCACGATGATACTCTATTTGGAAAAACCATGGCATTGGGTCATGACACTGTCTGATTCAATTTTGACGGTATCAAAAAGACAAGGGAGAAAGGAACCTGAAGGCAGCGATCGCATGTGAAGGGCAAGAAATCGATCTGTTTGCAATAATCGACGGAGCAGTGTTTCCCTAGATCTGGAAATTCTGGAGTCCCCATTGTTGAGACCGAGCTTTCGACTACAATTCCGAGAAGAGAAATAAGACAAGATAATGGTTAATTAGAGTTTCCCGGCGAGAGAGATACACCGGGAAAAGAAAATCCCCAGATTCCGAAAATTTAGATGAACAGAAAACTCGGAGATACCGGGAAGGAAGAAGAAGAAATTTGTAAAGGAAAGTCAACGTCATTCCATCTTCTTCTTTTCTTCCATTCAAAGTCAATCTTTCTTCTCTGTACCAAAAAAGATTGACCACCAAAATCAAATAAAACTCAGACTGATTTTAGGGCCTAGGCTTTGCTCATATCAACTCAAAAATTGGGCTGCTCACCATTTTAGAAGGATAATAATTTGTTTTTGAAACAATACTCAAAGATGTTGGGAAAGGGCCCATTTATCTAGTCTTTTTGCAAGCTAGTATTCAAAATTACTTAAATGTCTGATAAAACATATTTTCCAGGTACGTAAACTTTGAATTAAACCTTTAAGCTTTAAACACCATATATTTTTGAACGAATTTCCAAAATTCCAAATTTAATTGCTGAGATTTACTGACTTCAAATTCGTATGCTTGAATTCAAAGTGTCAAACAAATATCTAAATTACTAAAGACATTATAACCGAACAAAGCTTTTGATAACACTTTAAATCTCATGTAACAAGATAAAGTGGTATTACTCTACTACGCTTTTGTCTACAACCTCCCTGATCTTGACGCCAGGAGGCGTAAGCAAGTAATCAGTGTGCTCTTGGTATGGTGATTTTGAGAATCTCGTCTCTTTCCAGAATTCCGGTGTAAGGAATCCGTAAGTCTTTTGAAGACAATCAAATGTTGCCTGACCAAAAAACAACAACAATTTGAATTATATTAGTCAGAATTTCGTATAATCAAACCAACTTGAGAGCATTTGGATTCAAGCAACTTTAAAAACAATCTTACACACAAAACTAACAATATAAACCAAATCTTTGAATAAAACCATTGTTCATCAGTTTAGTACTTAAAACCAAACTCACATGCTCAAACCAATAACATTTCAGCTAAATCCTAATCTTCGATATAAATTCACTTAACTGATAATGCTTACTTATTCACTGCCTAATTCAGAGTTCATCAAACCAAAACAGCCATTGTTGAGTACATACCTTAACGAAGTTTCCAAGTGTTTTCGTGGATCCTCTAGAAGAAGTGAAGACATCATCAATTCCGGCGAATTGAAGAACCTTCTTAGGAACTCTAGCCGCCACAATACCAGAACCTCTTGGAGCTGGAACCATACGTACGGTAACAGATCCACATTTTCCAGTTACTTTACACGGAACCGTATGTGGTTTTCCGATCTTGTTACCCCAATAACCTCTTCGAATCGGAACCACAGACAATTTCGCAAGGATAATCGCGCCTCTGATCGCCGTCGCAACTTCCTTGGAGCATTTCACTCCTAATCCAACGTGACCGTTACTATCTCCAACGACGACGAAGGCCTTGAATCTCGTTCTCTGACCGGCTCTGGTTTGTTTTTGAACCGGCATGATTTTCATCACTTCGTCTTTCAATGAAGGGCCGACGAGTAAATCTATGATCTGGTACTCCTTCACTGGAAGAGAATGTAGGTAGATCTGCTCAAGCTGTTTGATCTTACCTTCCTTTACAAGACGACCAAGCTTAGTCACTGGCACCCATTTCTCCTCCTCTGGATCACGACCTGCACGGCGACCACGGCCTCTCGGACCACCTCTTCCACCGCCGCGACCGCCGAATCCACGTCCGAAATCGCCGCGATCACCACCACGTTCCGCCATTGTCAATGCGCTCGATTTTGCGTAGAACGGCTAGAGAATTTGATGCAGTTTTCGGTGAGAAACGGCGGCAAAAAATGAGCCCAATAATAAACTTAGGCCCAATATATGATTCGTGACATGTAATGGACTGTTTCTTGATTCGTTAATTTTCTCTGTCACTTATTATTGCCTGTTTCTTGATTTTCTTGAGATACTTTATTTTGTTAGTGATATTTATATTTACTGAATAAACATTATTGAGCTGACACATTGACATTAAAAAAAAATAAGAAGATGCAGAGATAGAACAAGATGAACAAACCCCACCATTGATATCACCTGCCAAAACTTAAACTGACAAATAAAAAGACAAGATGACCACATAAAAATCTAAATTAGTTACAAGATAAAGTTAATCTATATATGTATAGTCATGATTATCACATTTATGATGCAAGAATAAATAATGGTTAGTTGAGTCAAAGTGGAGTCAATAGGGGAAGTAGAAGTGGCAGAGAGAGGCTGGTGGTCATTGAAGGAGTGATGGGGACAACAAAACAAACACCTCTTCGTTTTAACCAAATGCATGTGGTTTTTGGTTTTTACACACATTGAGGACAAATTGGGAATTGCGAATTTTATTTTCTTTTCAATTAGAAACTTTTTTATTTACTTCAAAAAATTAGAACTTTTTTATTGATCTCATTATTTATTTATTTATTGATAACTTACATATACACATAAATGATTTCGAAGTGAGCCAAGAGACCTTGTATATAAATATATCCTTCAAATTCAATGCCTATGAACCAATTGAGTACATAGAATCATGGATGGAAAAGGAAAAAGAAACCATCATAATTTCTATGAGACCATTAGTATTCAATGTTATAAAGATGTTGAGTCTTATTTTGTCCAATAAAAAAAAAAAATGGTTTTCATTACTATTTGTTTTATTTATTTATTATAAAGTCGATATAATTAACCTCACTCTCTACTTCAAGTCTTAAACCTTTGCTCCCACAAGCTCACCTGAAACTCTCTATCTCTCTTCCTTTCTCTCACCCTCTCTCTCTCTCATGTTCGGAGTCACGGCAAGGCTCGATGACCAACTCAGCACCACAACCACACCAACCACCATTTACATAGAACCACCCTCCCAAGACCAGCCGAGTCACAACTCGGACCACCGTTCAATAGAAACACTCGTCGTCGTCTTAGCCGTCATCACCATTTTATCTGTCTTAGCCGGCGTGTTCGCTCGGCTTTGTGGCGGCCGTCATTTATCTGACGGCGGAGACCACGACATCGAAGGTTGGGTTGAGAGAAAGTGTCGTAGCTGCATTGATGCCGGTGTTCCCACTGTCGCCGCCGCTCCTCCACCTCCGCCGCCACCGGCAGCAGCGGCGGAAGAGCAGAGTAAGCCAGCAGCCGATGATCAAACCAAGAAGTGAAGTAAAAAAAGGGATTCTTCGATTTAGCTTTGACATTATGTATTATCCATTAATTTCGAGGACATCTTCCTTTTTTTGTTATGTACCTTAAGTCTACGGACATTGATTTCGGAATTTCCTCGGATGTTTTCTGATTATTATTTCTTTCAAAAGAAAGAAAAAAGTAAAGTTCTTTGTGTACTTTTAACTTTAAATAAATCCGTTGAGATTAGAGACCAACGGCATTAACCAAAAAAAAAAAACATCATCAAGATTTACTTTATCCTCATGTTGTATTTTATAGCAACATAATAAGAGGAACATTCACGTAAAAAGTAAATCAAAATTTTTAATACATTGGACTTTTTAGTTAAGTAGGCCAAAACACAAGGGTTCGCTTAAACGCCTTGGTCCTTTTGGTTGATTATGGGATTTGACATTCTTGTATAAGTTGATTATTGAATGGACTAAGAGTAATGTAGGCCACAATGCAAGAGCTCACTGAAAACTAGGTTAATTTTGGGATTTAACATCTTATTGAAAAACACACTATAAGTAGTAGCATTTTCATGCAAAAAAAAAAAAAAACGCATATTTCGATTTAAGATTTCAAGGCGTAGGCACAAACTTGGTCCATGTGACTTGCATCAAGTATTAACAACTATTTGCACAACTTGTTCTTTTTTTCTTCAGAGAGTACTTAAGAACCTAAGTATGAAATATGTTTTCACTCTATATTTTACTTACCCAACTATATATAATGCTGAAATAATCAATTCACTTTACTGAGATGTTGCATATTCTTTTCATTTTTAGTACTAGTAAATCAAAATATTAGACAAATAATCTTATTAATTTATTCATGGAAATACTAATAATCAATGTTGGTAATTTTATATGTGGACAACAAATCTTTCTACTATTTTCCCATATACTATATATATTAAGAAGCAATACGTAGAGTACAATATACATGTGTGTATATATATATATATGTATTTCTATATATTTATACGTGTATATGTATATTACATAATTAGCTTAAGAGCATTTAGGAGAAACGGTGCCCTGATTTTTAACATTGGCATTTTTGCAAGAAGCTGTTCCTCCTTTTATGTTCACGTTCTCAAGCACAATCCCTTGGCATGGATACTTCTCACTGCAATTCAACGTTATCGCCACATCCGTCGCGCTTGTACCGGATATGTTCTTGTACACAACGTTTTTCACTTGCACGGCGGATCCCTGATAACATATTTCACATTTTCAATCCGAGTGAATTAAGGCTAGTCTAGTTAACAAACAAAATATGGCTAAATCAATCGATCAATCATCAATTACTTGTTCTTCGCATTTGTCCTTGTCGCAGTAGTTCTGGTCGATTATGATCGGATTCTTGACATTTTCCATTCGAATGTTTTGAAATTTAATGTTCTTGGCAGTCCCTGATCCTCCCTGAAATCAGTAATTGACAATTTCAAAACAAATGGTGCAAATTCAAGGGATTTTTAATTATAAAAAACTTTTAAGTGTGGATTTTTGTGAAGAGAATCAAAATCAGTAACCTGATAAGTCTTAATCCGTACTCCATTATCACTCTCAGAGAACTTTGCACCATCCACATTAATTCCCGAGACATAAGCTTTCGAATTGTCGTCCCCCAAGCTCCCAATGCTTCGCATCATAACCATTAATTAAACATAGATCAATATTATTTATATACTTACTTCATTGAATTGAAATTAGAAGTACATCAATATTTTCAAAAATATAGTTTTGCTACCCTTATATAGATTAGGATTTTGAATTTTCAAAAATGAATTAATATAGTAAAGTTCCAAACTTTATGTGCTTAGTTAAATACTTCAAACTAACATTACATTTTAATATAGTTTCACTGCCCTTATATTAGGATTTGAAAGCAAAAAAAATTGTATTGATTTACCTGATTCCGTGACCAGGGCCGCAAGTTAAATCAAAGATTTGAAGATTTTGCGTTCCATCCTCAATGGATATACAATCATCACCTATATAAAAGCAACCAAGAAGATTATGATTATTTCTGAATAAATAAATGATTGATAGCTACCGTCCTTAATTTAGTCTTAGCATGTCTTTGTTACACATACACCATTAAGTACAATCATATATGAATCTTACCTGTTCCGATATCTGAGTTGGAGACTCGAATGTTTTGAGTATTAGTGATATGGATACCATCGGTGTTGGGACTATCGCCGGGAGCAGTGATCACAACATTACTAACTTCAACTTTGTTGCATTTCTCAATTGAAATCTGAATCTGCTGCGCATTTCTTACCCTCAGATTCTTCACATTCAAATTCTTTAGATTGTATAAAGTAAGAGCCTGCATTTACATAAACACACACACACATGCAAATTTCAAAATCAAACGCGTTCACCTAGTTTGGATGTGACGAAATTAATTCTGTATATATGGAGTTTTGTGCTTACGTACCGTTGGCGCTTTTGTGCATGGCTGCATTAAAAAAAAAAAAATGTAACCAATTAATATTAATATGATGACAAAGAAAATTTGACTTACATGATGACAATTAATTAGGTGTAATTTAAATAAATGTACATGAAGATATTTTAAAGAAGATATTGGTGACTATATGTGTATACCTTAGATTTATCGATTTTGCATGAGTTCTGCCACCAGATTTTGCCGTTGCCATTAATAATCCCCGTCGAGCCACCATCGATTGATAGATTGTTAACGTCCTCTAAGATAAGCCAATGGTTTTTGTCTTTGTAATCTGATCGTTTCGTAGATGCTGATAAAGTGCCTAGGATCTGCAGGTAATCAGTAAAAAATATCAACTAATTAATAGGGATTATCTGAATTAAACTAAAGTTGTATAATCAAAAACAAATATTACCTGAAAGTTACGTAGTGATTTGCATGGGCCTCTAAATCTAGTAGACTTAAGGAGATAAGTCTTCCCTTTAGGTATTAAGAAAGTAGTAACTCCATTTGTTGAACATGCTTTTTTCCATGCTTTCTTGAAGGCCTAAGCATATATTTTACACCCATACATGCATACATCATAAATACAAAATAAAATATATCTATATATATAGTATTCATGTTCGGTACACTCTAGATTCCGTAACTAATTATTGATTAAAAAAAAAAATTATACCCAACATTGAAAACATGTAGAGTATAGTACTAACCTGAGTATCATCGGTTTTTCCATCTCCTTTGGCTCCGAAGTTTGAAACACTAACAGTTGATGATTCCAAAGTGGTTTCATCGGAGCTTTTCAAGCTAAGAACATCATCGTTGTTAAGCTTGATCAAGCTATCGGATTCGAAACTTCCATCTTCATGACCATATCCATCATCAACGTTGCTACTCAAAGCTTCACACAAAGAGAGCATCAAAAGAACGCATAAGAAAACAGCAAGAAGTCTGCAACAACGGGCCATTTCGGTTTCGGTTGTGCTGAAAAAAAAAGAATGAGTGTTGTTTCCTTGTGAGTAAGATGAGAATGTTTGCTGCTTTATTTGGGATTATGTAATATGAAATTGAAGAAGTGGGAGGTATGAGTATTTATAGACGAATTGAAGGAGGAAAAAAGTTAGGTTCATAAAAGTTTTAATGGCGTCGGAGGTATGGAGAGAAATTGAGATTGATACGAAAACATCACTTTAAGCTTCAAGCCTTACCTCCTCTCCCCCTATTCTTTTCTTTTCCTTTTATTTGTTTGTTTATTTTATAGTTTTAATTCTTCATTGAGAGTTTCACAGTTTAGTTACGTTTTTTCTCGAAATCAATTTAGAAAAAGAGTTAATTTTCATATATCATCGTATATATACTATTCACAGTAACATTTCATCATGTGTAATTACTGAGCTAAGCAATGCGTGATGTATTTGCATACATTGATATCAAAAGTTTGAAAGACAAAAAATCAGCAAAAGGGACAAGAAAACGTCGTTGTGTCCTGTGTCTCTCAAAGTTCGGTAGTAGTTTTGGGTTCCTTTTTAATATTTCTTGCTTCTTCTCTTTATTGTGTGAGAAAACAATATACTGTATTCATCAAATTTCTTTGTATCGCATATTAAATCTCATACTTTTCTTAGAAAAAAGCTCTTATATTTCTCAGCTTGGCATGCTTAATTATTTAAAAACTCTCATGTTTCCCAGCTTCGAGTATTAAACTACATGCTTTTCTCATTAGTTTTCAAAAGTTTCCTCAAACGACGTCATAGACTTGTAAGTTGTAACTAACATGAGAGTTAAAAAAATAGACAGAGGACTAATCTGGATTCTTGTCTTGGATATGTGAAAATCTGAATATTTTTGCTATCTAAAATGTTAATCATAACCAAACATGATCAAATATTGTATTGAAATAGTGTGACACCTGATTTTCCAAGCTCTAATAAATCTTCTAATCATTAAACCAACATGAATTGGTATACCGAAATTAAATTGTTAGGCGCACTCGTGAGATTAGAATGAACTCATTAAGTACATATGTCCCACTGAAAAAGTGATTGCTATATTGTGGACTTTTAATTAAATAGAATCATGATCAATTATCATTACTTTTTTGAAATTAACACGTTTGCCAAACTTGTTTTTCGAAGCAAGTTAGGATGATAATTGATATATACGAACCGCCAGAGTATAATGTGCAAAAGTACCAAATTCAAATTATAATTGTAAATACGTAAATGGCAAATACCTAATGTAATGATTGAAAAGGTATGGTAAATAATAACGATGTAATTCAAATGATTCATGCCAACATGATCTAATTTGTTGGAAAATCAACTGAAAAGTTGATCGGGAACAACTTAGCATTCAACTCTTAAATGATGAAAAATATTAGTCTCAAACTCTTTAGTACAACACGTCTTGTAATATTTGTTATGATTAGTTAATCAAACCCGATAATGAAAATACCAATTTTCTTCCATAAAATAAAATAAAAAATACCAAGTTACTTTGGAAATTTTGTTATGAATCTTATGATCTACTGATATGTCAAATTATTTTGAAGTACGTATTTTGTTATTGAAAGCATGGTAAGCATTATTTTCTATGATTTCAAGGTGTCTTATAGTATAATTTCGAAGAAACTTGCGGCAAACCGGGTTGCGGCTTAAATAAACCTAAGACATACTACAATGCATGGGACATCAAGAACAATGGTGAAGACTTGATGCCCATACGTATATTCTCAACGATTAAGAAGCACAATTGATCACGAACTTATCCTTATTATACGAATACTTAATCTAATTGTTTTGTGATATAATTACCAATTAATTAATACAAACATTCATATATGTATACGCGCGTATGGTTTCAAAATAGGCAGAAGTTAAAGGCATGTGGGTAGTTTGCTTGAGAGACCTAAAGGTATGGTCGAAAGTCATGTCTTTGGAAATTTATCTAGTCGTTGTTATAACTTGGCCTTAGTTATTGCTTCCTTCTTTGAATTTATCTCTTCTATTTTTCTTAATTAATGGTTAGGATTCAACTTGCTCATCGTTTTCGTGGATGTCAATATTTTCAATTTTTCGTCTTACTTTTTTTTTTTTAAAATTACTTGGCGTTGGTAAAAGAGCAAAGAAAGATAAACTTAAACTCTGGATAAAAGATAGAAAAGACATGTACGTTTGAAATTGAATGCTTTGGGATTCCGTGTTTTTTTTTTTTTTAATAAATCCTATCTGCTATCCGGTTAGCTCCGATAGGAACGCATCGAGGTGCTACATAGTGGACTGGTCCACTGTGTTAACGGTTAGACCCTTACGGGCTACCACTCTGTCTATCCCGAGTTTGAAATGCCTTTCGACTAAGTGATAGGAGGTAGTCAGACCGCCTGCATTCCGTGTTTCGACTGGGGTGATTGTATATATATGACCTAAATTAACGTTTTGGGGTTTTAAGATGTGAAATTAATGGTGTACTATGTTACTCGTTAGAGGTCCTAAAGGGTGTGTTTAGGTGTGTTACGTTTACATGGAAAAATATTCGTTATTTGAGTTTTTTACACCAATCAAGTAAAATATGGAACACAAATCATTCCGTGTTGAGTCGTCATCGATTATCATAAATGGATTGTCGTAAAAAAAATGAATTTTGAAAAGACGAGATGATGACGTAATCAATGGAATGTTAATTTCGTTGGTGTGAATAGTATGGAAGGTCTCATAAAGTTGATGATCATCACATAACTGACTTAGCGCTTGTCATCATTATTCGTATTGACCCCTTAAATTGCGAACTTCTTCTGATTTATAGGTATTGTGACTTGTAAGAGTGTCGGTTTTCGATTTGTTTGGCTAAGACTTTAGATTTGTAAAAAAAAAGTAGCACCAACAATTCTAAAAATAAATCATTACCTTCTTTATAAAAAAAAAAAAAGAAATCATTAGGCTTTCATTTGGTTTATTTCCTTCCAAATAGACCAACTAACCAGAATATGATTGTCCATTTCAACCAGACACTCATTTTTTTTATAGTTTCTTCAACGAGTGAGTGTTACTTACTCTTTGGGGATTTGAGGTTGGCCAGAACCAAAACACTTTAAAAAACTCCAGTTTCATTTGTGAGGAAAGCCGAAAAATAGTTAATTAGGAATTTAGGAGCAAATTATTTTTTAAAGGAATATTATTAGAACAAAACTACAAGGGGGCGGTGGATCCCCAACTTAACGAGATTACATTATTACAAAGCCAAGAAGATACTACAACCATGTATTTCCTAATTTATTGATACCTTATACTACTACAAAATGATGATGAATGACAAAATGGTGAAAGAATAGCCCAAACTACACTGAAGCTTTTTGGTCTAGATCAGAATCTCAACATGCCATCTGAACATTTCCTCACTTGTCACCGGCAGATTCAAAGTCACAAGCCCAACCTCGGCATCGTATGTGAAATCAGTCTCTGTACTTCCAACGGCGCATTTTAATGGACGCTGAGAAGAGTAAGCTCCAAAACGACCACAGCCTCTAACACTGAGAGATATCAGAGCTGTTGGAGAACGGTTATCGCTGAGCGCAGGAGAAGCTGAAGAGACCTCTCCATCGAAGAGTTCATGTTTCTTGTCTGTCACGGGATTGATATCCATCGACTCGATAGCCCCGCTTGAGTTGAACATGTCTAGCAGTCCAATTGGTGCGAACGAGATGTTTGCAGTGATTTCCTGTATAGCCAAATTTCCAAAAGATTTAAAAGGATTTCGTCATTCACATTATGATTCCAAGTTGTTATCAATCCAAGTCATGGTAATATACAACAACACTAAACGTACCTTCAGAGGAGAAATGTGGAAGAGTTCATATTCAAGAACTTTGAGGGTGAGAGGAATTGAAGCACCTTTTGGTAGTCTTACCACCTCACCTGTAAATCAAAACCAAGCTCATGCTTTTAGTATTGATCTGAATTTTCGAGTTTTTGCATGTTTGAGGAAAGTAGATTGATTGATTTTTATACCTGATCTGTAAGCATAGACTATTGAATCTCCACTCCAATCTTCACCAGCCACTTGAGAGATTTGATCAGCATCATCCGCACAGACTGAACCCGTGAGTGTGCCAGGAGAAGTATCATGGATCTGGTTCTTCTTCGTTTCCTTGCACCAACCAGCACCTTGACAGTTGAACACACCGACAATACCAGTAAACTTATTCATGTTCCAGATCTTGAGCAAGCTGAAAAAAAAAATATCAGTTTTCGCAAGTGTTAGGCTTAGACTTAGGAGTGGAAAATAAAGAAGAGAAGAGTTAGTTAGAAAGCAGGCAAACCTGATTCCATCTCTAGCTGGATCAGCGAATAAGCAGTCACGAGTAGGCCTACCCGGAAGCTTAGCACGAAGAACTGAACCATCGGGAAGGACCAGCTTCCTCAATAGATCAAAGTTGTGGTTTCCTGGCTTATCACTGCTCATGTAATTTGACAAAACATATCTCCAGTTAAACCTCTGATTAAACATTAAGTAGTCAGAACAAAAATTAAGTTAAAAGATGAGATGAAGGCTTTACCTGACATAGATTGCGCATCCACCCACTGCACGCGCTGCAGCATGGTACTCTGCAGTTGGGTGTAGACTCTGAAAAACATCAAAGCTTCAGTTAGAAGTGAACTCATGCTTCTTAGACTTGTAAAAACATAAAATTTCTCTTTACTTACATGGAACATATCCCAGTCAGGTTGCATGAACTCTCCAAGGAAAAGGCTGTTGTATGCAACCGATGCAATGTGGATGGTGTGAGAAGCAGGATCTCTTGGGTAGAAATCATCGGATGCTCTAACAATAGCGGTTTGTTTCGCGCTGTAAAGTCCGTCTGTGTTGTGACACATGCAAGATATGCAACCATTATCTGTGAAGTTCCGGGCAATGGAAGCTTCTAAAGCTTGATGGTAGCTACGAGTGAGAGAGACTCTCCCGCCAAGACCAGCACCGAGGGTTTCAATGATGTTCTGGACATCAACTTTGACTCCGTCTACACCACATGAAGCCAAGTATGAATGCAGTTCGTTGTAGAAGTTGAAAACTTTCTTCGGGTTGACAAGTCCAAGACCATGAACAGCAAGGCTGTCCATTACTATATCTGGTTGGTTCCCTAAGACACCTGGGGACTGAACTGGGTATGCTAATGCACTATCATAGTGTTCCATCCCAGAAGCAGCGGGTTTAACTCCACCCCAGTATCCAGCTAAAGCATGCCAAGCATAAACTTGCCTGTGAGTAAAGAAGTCAAGCCATGTGAGTATTTCAATTGCTCGATGTTGTGATAAAAAAGGAGTTCAGCTTGAAGACCAGCTTGTTACAAATAAAGAAGAAAGGACATACTTCACGTTATGGCGCTGCTTCGCATTGTCAACTACACTCTTTAGTCCTGATACTTGCGTGTCCTTCTGATCGCTCTTCTGAAATTTTGCATTCTCCTTGATACCAACAAGCCTAGTAGCAAACCTGCATACATAAGAATGCAGAAAAAGTTAGCATTTTCCAATAAAATCTAACAACTGTAGGATATCCTCAAGCTCGAGCTGCCTAGTGAGCACACTCACACCTTACTTATGAACTAAAGATTTGAAAGTTCCAATGCACAGACTGAAACAGATGAATCTAATTTTTTTCACCCACATGAGCTTTATTTTAAAATACTCAAGCCTCGATCTAGTTTTGCTGGACTATTATTTGGTGAACTGTATTTAAGATGCCCATCTACATGTAGACAAAAATAAAAGACCGAGAGATCTTACTGTGCTCCTTCCTGAACAACGCAGTTTTCATCTTTCTCTTTGTTTTCTATTTGTTGCCAACCATCGTCTATGATCAGAAACTTTGGAGGGGTACCTCCTCCAGAAAGACTGCAATAAACCAAACACATCAGTGACTCTTATTAACTTATACAGCGTTAAGTAACTACAAGTATATTAACAATATGCCGCTCTACTTCCATATGAAAGTACCTTTTAAGGCCTTCATCAACACCTTCGGCAGTCACATCTGTGTAGAACGCGTCCCATGTGCACCAGCCAAACCAGTCAAGGAAAGAAGGAAGCTAAACAAACAAAGACAAAGACAATGGTGAGATCATATCAAATCAGAGTGAACTCTTTCTGTGACCAGAGCCATGAAATGTTCACTCACCTTCTTCTTCTCACGATGATGAAATGTCTGCATGTGTCTCTCCACAGCCCTGTACAACACAAAGGATTACCGCATAAGAAAACATATATAACCTTCACATCAATGAAACAGAGACATAACATAATATTTTGGCTATTTTTCGAACATACTTTACGGATTGTCTGATAACTTCAAAGGGATTGGTTCCAGCATGAACATAGACAAGGTGAGTTCCCTGGCTAGTTTCCACCGCCTTATCTCCTGCAAATACAGAAATCAACCAAAACGAAATTTAAATTCTTAGGTCTGGAAGTTGTGAGCTAGTTTTTATAGATCATCTGTACAACAAATTCCCGTACCGCTCTCAAGACAAATCTCTATCTCATTCTTCTCATTTCCTTGGAGAACAGCTCTGAACTGGCCTTCAAGAAGAGGAAGAAAGACGGTATAAATAGTCGGAGCATCATCCCCATTTCCTTCAACCTCATCCTTGCTCTCCAGTAGCATGAACTGTGTCTCCAAAGGAATGTCTTTTCCACAGCTTCCCATTCTCTGAGTCATCCACCATAGTTTAAACCGGAAACAGCACATGAATCGAAGACCCCTACGAAAGATATAAAAACAATAAGCTTAAAACGACCATCAAAGGACCTGAATTGCTCAAATAAGTTATAGGTGCTTACTCCAATACACCGACGGGGAACACATGAAGACTCTTGCTTTGTTCAAACGTCGCGCCTATAAATGCACCGGAAACGAATCCATTACCAGTAACCGGAGTTAGGATAATGTTGTCGGGGATTTTGGTAAGGATAGTCTTCCCTTGAACAACGAGGTTGTCGTTCTGTACAGAGATATTTGATGTAATCGTCATCTTTTCGACGCCGCTTCTAGATTAACTGTCTCAGATAATCACAACAGATAAACCAACAACGTTAAGAAACAGATCCTTCAAGAGGAATTAAACAAACAAAATCCAAATTAGAATCTTTCCAAAAATGGAACATGAATCTAAAGATGCCATTTGGAGATTTCAAATATCATTCAGCGAAGAAACTGCAGATGAGCGGTGAGACAAACGGAATCATCATCGGAAAACTACTATCCTAACGGAGCAACAAACTATCAAATCGAAACATAAATCCGCTCCTACCTTAAAGGTCTAGAAAATTCGAAACAAAGACTTAAAACATTCAATCAAATTCAAGTTCGAAACATAAGATTGAAACCAGAAGTACTCACCGGATTGTTTCTTGTTTCGTCCGAGCGAGAGAACACGGCGATATGAGGGTGGGGAGATAAACTCGAGTTTGCAGAAGCTAAATGTTGCTTGTGCAAAAAAACAGCGAACACGGAAACGCCGCCAAAAGTGGTGGCGCCGTCAATGAAGATGATTCAGTTGTGAATAAGTAATCGGAACGGTGTGTGTGGCTAATGAAGGTGGCGGAGAAGACGCTTTATATATGCGAGGAGATTTGGCAAGAGCCGTTGCGATGTTGCCACGTGTCATATTATTACCTTTTCCCGTGGAGATGAAAAAGTTGCTAGGAAAAAATCGTGATATTTTTGTCTCTCTCTTATTTGCTGAATCAGAGACAACTCATTACAAAAAAAAATATAATATTTCTGTTGTTCTTTTGTTTTTACTTTCTTTCGATTGAGTCAATTTTTTTAAACCTTTTTTTTTTCCAAAATAGCATTACATATAAAAATATAAGAGTGAATTATAATAATTGTAGTGGATATAAATTAAAAAATAGTAGTTTAAAATCTATTAAAACATAGTAAATTTAGCCTAATTTAAAATGTCAACTACAATGAAACGGTGAAATGTTGTTAGTGGAGAAATTGCTAATCTGAAATGTTGAAATTTTGGTTGTTTCAAGCTGGTTGTGCAAGAAATCATATTAAATATCGAATCAAATCAAATACGAAACTATAAATCGTAGTTAATTTTCACTCTTGATTCAAATCATAACGAAGTCCAAATGTACAAGAAACGTGTAACGTAGTTCCATACGCGTCTTTTTAAATTAAATTTCCTAGTTGAATCGCGTGTCTTAGGGAATGCCAGTAAGGCAGTAACATATATACACATGCATCACCGATTCACCCATAAGTTTTACGTATCTTTAATTAATACTATTTGTTTGATTTTTTTTATAGTCCTAGGAAATGACATATCTGTATTGTTTTTTTTTTTTTTAATAATCGTGGTCATCCCAAAAGCTTTCTAGGCCCAAAGACTAATTTACGAAGCCTTGCATTCGGGTACGCTTTATCCCATCGTTAAGGGAGCGGCTAGGTGACCAACCAGAATCGAACCCAGGAGGGGGAACTCACTGCTGTGAGCCCTTTACCAACTGGAGACATATCTGTATTGTTGCTGATCAAATTTGAAAACCTTAAGGACAAAGTCAATTCACGAGTCTGGTTCAGTGGGTATTCAGGTATCTCGATAACATCACATTATCACATTGGTCATTGGTGATATTCAGGTATACCTCGATTCTTGGATTCAATATTTTGTTCTAAAAGAAGACAAAACTGTGACATCGGATAATCTTCAAGGCAAATAATCCACTTTTTTTTTTTCTTAAGTTGCAAGTAATTTTATGTTATAAGTTAAACGAGAACATCTCTTTAATATGAATGATGTATGCGTAAAATTATGTAGATGTACTCACTCTTTAACGAGAACATTAAAAAACTTCATCGGTTTTTCTTTTTCTGTTCTGTCAAAATAAAAACAAATCGTTTTTCGTCTATACAACATGGTATATGTGCTATTATATTTTTTTAAAATAACATAACATGCATAGTCTAATTATACCGGATAATGGTGAAACATGTTGTAAAAAACCAAATTGATATTCCGGCAAATATTGTATGGACCGAAGACCGAAGCAGTTCCATTAATGCATGTAAGTTGGTTCAGAGAACTTAAAAGTTAAAACCGTCGCAAAATATATATGAACTTTTCAACAAAACGACGATCGAAGCCGCACAATACTATAAACACACGATATAAACAGAGTAACCGACACATGTTTAATACTTTACTTTAAATTGAGAATTCGGGAGATGATATTATGCAAGTTGTGTTTTAGTTTGACTCCTTTGCGGAGCAAAACATAACAACGTCGCTGATGAGAGATACGGACCGTAACACATACACATCACGTGATGTCACGATCCTTATCCGCTTATCTGGAACCACGTGTGTGGTCAACACTCGACGACCGGTTTGAACCGGGTTGATTCATCACTTGTGGCTGCTCTTTCGTACTAAAAGCCACTTCTTGTTATAGATAATCAGTACCGTTTTAATCTATAGAAAGATTTTGGTAAAACTAAAAAAAACAAACTCTCTTAATAAAAAAAAATTTAAAAATATATTGGACTCAATTTCTTCACTAAATTTTTTGAAAATGATATTTGACCCATAGCAAATGCCTATATTGCCATAGAGTAGAAACGGACTTGTGGATAATACATATAACGACACACCAATAATTAATAATAATGAATGTTACGATAATGTTTTAAATCGAATCTAATACATATACGTAGGTCCGTCGATCGGTATGGATTATGAATATAAGAGTTTGATATATATCGACTCATTAATTATTTTACGGATTATCTTATCGTTTTTCTTTGTTGGTTTGCATTTCGAACACTTGGTTTTTTCTCCTTCATCGATTCAATTAAAACGAAAAAGAAAAAAAAGAAAGAAAGAAACACACAATCAAGCTTTTAATGATCTCCTCTCATTCAGTCATTCCTAATCATTGCAGTTTAATTCGGATTAAGATGGAGTATATTTTTTCCCAAAATAACTAAAAGAGAAACAACAAGTAGTCAAATAAAGTTGGTGAAGTTTTTGTTATGAAACGGCGCAAGTGGGTCTCATCCACGTCAGCTCTAGTTAATCAAATGTTAAAAAGATCTAAAGTATCTAGCATTGATCAGTTCACCATGTCCTTGTCTAGATTCCTTTTTCACTTTCGACTTTTATCATTAGGTGTGTGATACGATTATAAATTTTGTTGGTTCTATGCATATAATTTAAATACGACGATTAATCAATGGTAATTACGGTGATTACTATAATGTTAACTCTGTAATCATCATTAGTGTCGTTCCAAAGCATAATGTTTATTTACTACAAGGTCGACATCGGACATGTGTATCATTCGTGTACCGTTCATCCTCACGCCTTTTGCTTGATTGATTTGTTTTAATGATTTTCAATCAAATTTGGCATCAATACAAAATCGCCACGTAAGTCTCCCGTGTCAATGAGACTACTATGACGTGGATTAGACGTACAAAAAATCAATGATTTGAGTTAAATTGTCATTTTACTTGTATGTTTGTGATTGTAATACTTAACAGATGTCAGTGATGCTATTTCTAAATACTATTTGTGGTATCAAATTTGTAGTATATATCAATATCATGAACAGTTGCGAACTCAGCAAGTAAAAATGATTTCTAAAAATTAAGTTTTTATACGATTGTTGATCAAATTATTGGTGTTTTGATGCTTGATGGCAATGATATTGAGGACACAAATTTTAGTCCACTTGTTTAGATTTGATGCCGCGAGATAAGCCAATATAACGACGTTTATTATCGTTTGGTCTGAATTTTGTTCTCAACTAAACTATATAGCTCCTTATATGGATTGATAAAATTTTATGGCCAATAGTATATTTTCCGACTTATACTTATTTAAAACATTTTACAATTTTGTTTTCAAAACTGTGACCACAAAATGTGAAGGCACAAAGACAAAGTCGACCCTTGAAAAAACGACAACGATTTGCCCTGCTTTTTTTCTTTTTTTTTTTTTTTTCCAAGAAAAAACGAAATGGGACTTTAGATTTTGATTACAATTTGCAGTGTAAGTTTATTTGTAAAGCAACCTCTCATTGTCAAAATCCATAACTCATTTGCTTGATGAGTTTTGAGGAGATTTGTTGAGGTTTGTTAAGTTGTTCTTGATTGGGCAACTCTACTCTGATAAAAGGCTCTACTACATCTTCTGGATTTCCCAAAAAGAAAAAAAAGAGTCCAATCTCTCATATAATTCTTGAATGATTATAGAAAATTACAGATTGATCACAAGAAAAATTGATGATATACACATATGATTATACAAAATATCTACACACAGCCAAAGGCCAACAATCTTGTTCTCTCTTGATCCGTACTCGGTCGCTCCTTCAGCCAGGAAATCAAACACACAACTTGTGCAACTTTATATGCCTAAAGCTTTAATCGTGGTGTCATTAAAAGAAAAACCAAAAAGATAAAAATAAAGAAATGAAGAAAGATTTGCATCCCTTTGATTCAATCTTCCCATGCTGAGTTACACAGATTCAGCCTCTCTCATCTTGTATCACCATTAACCTGCAACGACGCATCTTGCATCAGTTTGAGACTGATACTGTTAAACCGTTCTCTCGAGTACTGCCTTGAAGCTTTTCTCCAATCTGTTCCTGTTTTCATCATCGTCACAAACTCTTCGTAACTTATTCTTCCATCCTGCAAAAAAAAAAATGGTTAGTTCTCTTCTATGAGATGGGACTTTTTTCAACAAGAAAACGAGAGTGAAATGGTGAAGTTAGCCAACCTTATCGGTATCAACATCACGAATAATGGCATCAACAACTTCTTCGCTTGTACCAAGTTCGTCAGACAACGCTTCCCTTAACTCATCTATTTCGATATATCCGTTATTGTTTTGATCAAAGAACGCAAATGCTTTCTTGAGATGCTCGTCATTGCCCATTTTCCTTAGGTGTACCGATATGGCAATAAACTCGTCACAGTCCAAATATCCATCTCTATCGATATCTCCCTGCAAAAAAGGAAAGCCATCGAGAGCTCAGTGAACTGCTTTAAATTAACAAAACCGGTATTGAAAATTAATGGTAAATCAAAGCTTACAGCATCCATCAGAATTTGTAAATCATCTTGGGGAATGGCATGACCAAGTTTCTGCAACCCAATTTTAAGCTCGTCGATGTTAATCTTCCCTCTTTGGCTTGTGTCCATTATTTGGAACCCTTCTCTTATACCTGAAGCTTCTTCATCTGATAAATGCTCAGCAATAACCTATCGAGAAAACGTAAAAAGACCAAAGGAAACTATTGTTAGGCTTTTTGGATCAGAAGAGATATATATATATACCTATCGGATAGTTTATAGATAATAGTATGTATTTACCCTGAGTGCTCGTTTCTTGAGCTTGTTCATGACGGTGAACTGCTTCAACCTTGCCCTCACTGTTTCACCTAATGATACATTGGGAGCTGTCTTTGCATTCTGTAACCAGGGATGATCTGGGGAAAACGAAGCAAAGACCGATTATTACTCTTTGTCTGTCTCAGATTCCAAATAAGTAAATTGCATCATCAGAAACCATAAATATGTACCTAGGACTTGTTGAGCTGTAAGACGACGCTTTTGGTCAGGATCAAGCATTTTCCTGATAAGGTCTTTTGCGTTTTCAGAAACCTTGGGCCATGGGTCCCTTCTGAAGTCTAGTACAGATCGAATAATTGCTTGTGCAACTCCTTGTTCAGTTTCTGAAAATGGTATAAACAAACAAAAGACAAGGTTCATTATTCTTATGATCGCTCCAAATATGTCCCCTTGAGACACAATTGCCACAGACGGCCCTAGAAGAAGGGAACATAGACTGACAAAACTAACCTGCCCAGAAAGGCGGGACACCACAGAGCAGTATGTAGAGAATTACACCTGCACTCCAAATGTCAACTTCTGGACCATAATTCCGTTTTAGCACCTCGGGAGCCATGTAGTACGGACTACCAACGATTTCGTCAAATCTCTCGCCTGCAAAGAAAACAATGATGCGGGTTAAGATTGTTGCCATACCGCAAGCGATCAGCTTTCAATTGAGCACCAAGACCACATTACCTGGTTTAAAGAAAACAGAGAGACCGAAATCAATGGCCTTGAGAGGTGCAGTCTCCTTCTTGTTTCCAAACAAGAAGTTCTCAGGTTTCAGGTCCCTGTGCATTACCCCATGCTTGTGACACACCTGCAAGAACACACTCATTAATCTCACATCTAAAATCATTCCACAAGACTTTCCATTTACATGAAAAGAAATGAAATTTTGAATCTATCTGCAGCAAATTGAGCCCTTTAAAGCAATGCTACAAATCTATAATGTCCAAGAAACTGAAACCAGCAACAAAAGCAGTAAGATTTATACTAGAGATTAAACCAAGACAGTAAACAAATAAAGAGTTAAATAAAAAGCCAAAACCTTGACGAACCTGAACAACTTCCATGATGGTCTTAGTGACAGCAGCAGCAGCTCTCTCGGTATAATGCCCTCTAGCCACAATCCTATCAAACAATTCACCTCCTTCACAAAGCTCCATAACCAAATGCACAGCATGCTCATCCTCAAAAGTCTCCTTCAAAGTAACAACATTAGGATGCTCAGGCATATGCCTCATGATCTCAACTTCTCTCCTAACATCCTCAATATCGACAGCTGTCCTCAGCTTCTTCTTCAAAATCGATTTACAAGCAAAAACGTCGTCTGTCTCTTTATCAGTACAAAGATACGTAACACCGAATTCTCCACGGCCTAACTCTCTCCCCAACGTGTATTTGGACTCGATCTCACGACCTGTTGGATCATTCAAGACGATAAGCTTAAGAGGTCTTCCACCTCCATCTCCACCACCGTGGTGAAGACCGTAATCAATCGAGAAAGGGTTTTGCTTCTTCCTTCCTTTTTTGGGTTTGTTATCGTTTTGAGCCAATGATCCTGCTGTTCCGCAACAATTACCCATGACTTTTCCTGATCAAAATCTTCTCTCCCACGCAAAGAAAAACAAATTTTCAAAGAGATTGGCGACGAAATTCCAGGAAAGTGGGAAACTTGAAAGGATTGAACTTTGAGAGATGGATGAGAAAAACGAAGAAGATGAAGAACATATATGAAAGGGTGGAAATTTTCAACGCGTGATTACGAAGAAGAACGTCAAAATCATTGTTCGATGGTTCTTCGAAAACCATAAAAATAAAAAATTTATTACAGAGAGAGATGATGGAAGGAAGGTCAAGAGAATCTTCTTCCCTCCCTTCTTCTCCAGCTGCTCTATGATTGTTTTTCTCTCTTTTCTTTTACTTAAAATTTTTATTTTTTAGGAATGTTTCCCATTACATTACTCTAATGTGAAATCAAAATGCCTTTAGCTAGCTTTACCGAATTACTATTGACAATATTGCCCCTACATGTGATCTTAAGGTAAGGCTTAAATACACCAATTGTTTTTTTTTCCAAACTCTTTATTTTTATAGAATGCCTATTTATGTCCGTTAAATGAATCATACAATTAATTACTCCCTCCGTTTCGTTTTAGTTGTCGTTTTAGGACTTAAATATTGATTCGTTTTAGTTGTCGTTTTAGGTTTTTAATGCAAATGTTTGGTAAAAAATTCTAGTATTATCTCTATTGTTTTAATGTTGTGGTCAATGAAATTTTTTATAAAATATATTAATAAAGGATAAAATAAAAAATTTAATACTTTTCTTAATTTGTGTAAAAAAACTTTAAACGACAACTAAAACGAAACGGAGAGAGCACGAAATAGAAATAGGGGTGTTTCAGGAATTACCTGAAGGATTAAACATGAAGCAAGAGTCTGTGACACGTTCTTAACTATGCGCCGTGGAAAAAAATAAAAAATTAAGGGTGAAATCGTAAATACGCTCGTGCTTGGGTCTCATAAATAAGCGGCCACCTTTATTTTATGTTTTCCTTTTTTCTGTTAAATTTAAAAAGGTCAAACCCGGCGATTTTGACTCGTTTTTATCACTTTCGTCGGACCCAACTAACTAAATTTTTTGACTTCGATACAACCAAACAACATAATTACTCAAAGTTATTTGCTTTTTTTCTGTCACCAAAGCTCCTGATGAACATTCCTTTCCTTACACGAGTGTTTCTATTACTCTTACCAAGTCAATGATTCATTCAATTTGTTTACTTAGATTACCATTAATAAAAAGACCGTTAACTGTAATAGATAGATAATTAGTGAAGAAAATGAGGGGTTTTGTTTTATACACTATAGTGCTTGATCATTTACCAAAGATTGAGTCTTGTTTGTTAACATTCCTAAATTATTCTATCTATACAAATGGACAAATCAAAAGAAAAATGTAAGACTTAGCAAAGAAAGGCTATATAAGCCCATTATGGCAGAAGCACAACCGAAAATAAGCCTTTCTTCATTAGCCCATCTCAGAATCTCCTCCAGTCCTCCTGTTTCACTTCCTCTCTCTTTCTTGCACTCGTGTGCTCCTTCTGTACCCGAAAGTTTGATGTTTTAGAGTTTACATATATATTAAAAAATAATTATGATTTAATTTTTTGATAATTTTTTTTATTTTTTTTTTTTATAATTTATGAACCAATAGTAATCAGTTAATTATTTGTAATCAGTACGCCTTGAAATCTACGATTTGTTAATATCAATTAATAAAAAATAAAATAAAAAACTAGAAAATCAATCTTTGTGGAACAAACCTAAAACACTAGAACATCAAACTTTCAGGAACAGAGGGAGTATAAGAATTAAGATCTATGTTTCATGTTTGTGATAAGAAATACATAGACCTTGTATGTAAAAAGGTTTAAGGCTCGTTTGAGCGAGATTTTAGTGGATTTTCGGGATTCCTTTCAAGGGATCGGAGACGTATGGTTTGAGACACGTGAGTGCAAGGAAGAGAGAATAATAATTGAAACAGAGTTGGAAACTAAGTAAGAGCTTGAACCTTTTTTCTTTTTTTTCTTTCTTTAACCTCTTTGAACCTTTTAAAGTCGTATTGGTCTCAACATATGGAATGACAAAACGATATCACAAATTACATTTTATTGTTTTTTTGTAGTCCATACAAAGTTGAAAACATATAACTACAGTATATCAGTACCTTTAAAACTCTTACATTCTATATATACACACATTGATTCCCAAGAGAAAATGTCCGTTTGCAGCCTATATATATATATATATATATAAGAAATTTTGATGTAATTAAAACTAGCAATAGCTTAGCTAGGAGAAAGCGAAGAAGGAGCGTTTGGCTGGAGGTCGTCCCACGGCTCTCATTAGATTAGCAACTTCAAGAACCCTCGCAACCTCCGTCCCTCTTTTTCCTTCTGCCGTCGCTCTCCTCTCCTCCGCCTTCCTCTGAGCTTTTGCCACTTTATTTTGTGTTTTCTCCATCGCCTTTGCTCTCCTATCTTCCAGTTTCCTCTGCATCCACATAAATGAATCAATGGCATAATCTATTATTCCAAAGACGAAATCGACCGTCTAGCTAGTCAGTCATTTGGATCGTTTTATTACATCTCAAATATTTAATGTATCACACATTTTGAAAATATCACCATTAAGGGCTCCATGAATCATTTGTGTTTCTGCCTTTTGTTTTCAAATAAACCCACTATCTTTACATTTTTTTTTGATATGCATTTTGAATCAAATTTTCATTAGCTAATTGCAAAACTTCAATTACAAACAAAAGAAGAATGCTTGTTCACGTTTATCGTTCGTAGTTTGAAAGCGTTACATATATTTTCTAAATTACTTTTGTTACACATGTAAAAAGCAAACCGATTCAAGAAAAGCATGTTAACCTAAAAAGGGAAAAAAGAATCAGAGCCTAAGTCACCTTGTTCTCTTAATCGATCGGATCTAACTAAGTAAGATATTCGTAAAAGAGAAAAATGAGTCACCTCGATTTTCTTCATCCAAGAGTTAGCTTTATGAACCTGCTCATTCAACCAACCGTTAATAACGGCGTCTTGTCTCTTAAACCTATTATTAATCTTAGCCACTTTCGCCGTTTGCCACGCCGTTATCTTCGCTTCCACCTCTTCTCTCTTCACCCTCTGCACCGAAGCAGTCGTCACCATCCGATTCTGACCACCCGATGATGACGTCAACACAATATTATTCTCCGAACCATCCCGGTTATTGTAACCGTCCGGTACAATCGCCCAAGGATTCGTATCTTCCTCAGGCACCTGATCATGATCACCAACGTCATCGTTTTCGCCGATCCTAGTCAGCTCGTTCCTTTCATCACGTATAACGTCACGATGACCACCTGACTGGTTACTTCCGTTACTGTTGTTGTCCATGGAAGATCCGGCGATGACTAGAGCGTTGAACTCTCTGCTCACGGTGGTGAAATTCTCACCGGAAGAAGTAGTCCCGTCGCTAAAAGCAATAGACCTCGACGGAGACAAGTATCCTCCTCCTCCCCTTTGTTGTGGCCGAGTAAGCTCCGTCGTCGTTGTCATCGCGTGAATATCTCTCACGACGGTTTCCGACGGCGGCGTCTCATCCCGGCGATCGGAAGCATCGGCCGTACTTGTGGTGGAGTTCTCCGTTGAACTTTCTTGACCGTACAAAGTCAACATCAGAAGAGTTGTAGTAGTAGTTAGTAGTGGAGTGTTGTAATTAGATAGTTTAGGTCTGATTATAATTAGGTGATGGAAGGAGAAGATACAAGGTAAGGCATAAATAATCAATGATTAGGATTTAATAATTCGTGTAACGAATTAAAACGTTTAGTTTACATGAGAGGTAAAATGAGAACAAGTGTAAAGTCTTTTCCATGAAAGCTACGTTCGTCCAGTAAATATGCGACTACATTTATGAAGACGTGTTCTCTTAAGATATTTAGCATGAAATTTGATTTATTAATTCGGTGGAAATTATTCTAATTGCTTGTTTTAATTTAATGAAAAAAATTCGGTACAATTTTTTTTTATATTCGAGAGCATCGTCAGAGATCTTTAGTTAGAAAATAATTAATTTGAGAAAAAAAAAAAGTTAGAAAATAATTAATTATGAAAAATAGATTATCGTAGTGTCGGCAAAATAGAACCGACCACGAAAAGCGGAGATAGTGCTTTTGACACGTGTGTTGTCATAGCAAAGGTTATATACGTGGCATTAAGTGAGTGGTAGTGTATTCCCGCCACAAGAAGCTACTCACGTCAGGTTCATGAATGTGCTCGGAAATCCCACTGGAAAGATGCCACGTATTAAACATCAGTTCAGATTATATTCATTTTTTACTCAATTCTCACTGCTAAATTGCTAATTAATACTCTCTCCGTTCTTTAAAGTTTGATGTTCTAGTATTTTTAATTTGTTCCACAAAGATTGATTTTCTAGATTTTTTATTTTATTTTTAATTAATTAATTTTAATAAATCATAGATTTCAAGACGTAATGATTAACTGTTTCAGATTACTATTGGTTCATAGTTTATTAAAAAATATTTAATAAAAGTAAATAATTAAACAATGATTGTTTCTTAAAAAATGTGAAATCTCTAGAAAATCAATCTTTTAGAAACAGATGAAGTATTATTTCTTGTCATTTTCTGATTAATTGACCCCAAAATTGGTATTTTGTTTATCTTCTAAACATAAAAAGAGCGATTGAGTTAAGGATGTTGCCAAATTTATTCCGCACGGTATGAATTGATTCGCCGAATCAAGCTCCACTAATAGTTTGTGTGTCAAGGTAATAGAGAGCCTCCAAAATTATAATATTTGCAGAATCGGTTTGGTTAGATTGCGCTATAAAATGGGCCGACATGGGCTACTCATTATCACATTTTCTTAAGAGCCCAATCAGGTAGTTTGAATCTTTTGATCATGTGATAAGGCTAGATGTGTTTTTCTTTTGGTTGATATATCTGTATAATGAAATTGACGTATCCCAAAAAAAAAATTAGGATTGTTAGAAACTTTTTTGTTAAAAAGCTTAGGATTGTTAGAAACTTGTCAACGTAAAAATAAAAGGTTCACACGCTTGATTTTAGAAACGACTCGAAAACTGACATATTATTGACACTATGTGGTAATGACGTCGTAAACACGTTAAGGTTAGCATCCACGAGAAGACCACGACCTAGTCCACGACGTTGTCTTATACATCCATCTAATAGTCTTAGACATTATCTTTTTGGTTTACAAAAAATAGGTAGTAATTAACTAAACTGAAATTAAATCTTCCCTGGACCACTTTGGTATTCAAGTTTGTTTTCTATGAAATATTTTTCATAACTTTTTTGTGTTTATCTCCTGTAATCTCATTTTCATGATCCGAAAGAGGTTGGTTTTAGGCCATATCCCTAAACATGTTTTTATTATTGTGTTTTTATTTTCAACGGTTACCAATCACGGTTCTTGAAATTTATACGGGCCTAACTTTTTTTATTTGAAATTTGGTGCAAGACGACTTGAACTATATATATGTCCTATGTTAGTATCTAATATCAGTCAATCAGAAATGTGAAACAACCAAAACTACTACTTCAAGGACATATGCCAATATATATTCTTGATCGGTGTTGAGTCAAAAACTAATGAATCTTTACATGGTATAAAATTTCGTAAGTTCAAACACATATAACCTCCAAAAAAAAAAAGTGGGATTCAATTCAGGAATGAATTAGCTAAAAGATCATAATTTCGACATTCGAGAGGGTGTCTTATGATTCTACCATTCAAAACCATAGACATAAACATTTTGCCTCAAAACAACAAACCTTTCTCAATTAAGCCTCCTTGAAGTCATCTCGCTTCCAATAATTCATTAACCACACACTCTTTAGACATATGTGTATTTTTTTGTATTGTAAGATCGATTTTTTTGGCTTTCGTCAGCTGTGGAATTGTTTTTTCTGTGTAAATAAATTTGATAAATTCCACGTACTAATAATGATTTAACTTTTGAATAGGAATTATTTCAGCTACGTTAAAATTCATTTTTAAAAAATGTTCGGTCGGTTCAGTTTTTTTTTCTTCTGAATTGAATACTTTTAACTAAAATAACCTTCATGTTCAAAGCTCGAATCTGATCAAACTGAGTTGACACTTCATAGCCGATGAAATTCAAACATAATGGCTTATTATAAATTGATTCGAAAAGTGTTTTAATTGATCGATCATGGATAATATTCTTTACCCAAATGGTCATAGTGGACTCGTCTTTGGACAAAGTATTGGAATAACGCAAGAGAGAATGTTCAAATACAACAAAAAGAGATGAGGACAAAAAAACCAATTGGTGTCCTTATCCACTTTCCAATATTCAAAATTGGAGGATTGACGGTTTGGTCAAAATCATGTCATGTTTGAATGGAAGTTTGATTTTTTGGGGACAAATCCCATGTTTCTAACCAATCCCATATGGCCTTGTCTAAACATTATTGGCTCATTTTCACATTTTGCGTAACCAAATTAAATATTGACCTCTTCTCTACGTTTACTCACTGTAACCTTTTTGTTTTATTCATCTAAATCTCTTTCAAAGTCTACCACTTTTGGCCTGTTATCCAGGAATGTTGCTTTAAATCATATCCATGTCATCATGTCATAACTTTGATTAACTGTTGTATGAGTATGTTTTATATTCACTTAGATTCCGTTTGTTTGATAAGCACACATCTTCCATTTACTTTGACAAAAAAACAAACAAATCTTCTGATTACATAATGGTTAGAGTAGATTTTTTAGTCTTACTTGTCCATTTTTACGTAATATATACATTTGGTAAACCATTAATGGTGTGGTCTTATAGTCAGTTGAGAATTTTCTTCGAATCATTTTTTTTTATTATATATAATATCATTTAAAAAAAAAATACTTTTCGGGATTAAAGACAAAATTATGGAGAAAACACGAAATAAAATATAAAAATTAGAAAAAATAAATAAATGATAATTATCACATAATACAATAATAACTACACGTGACTTACAGACAAATCATAATTAATTATTTTTAAATTAATATTATTGTAGTGCATCAAAATTAACAAAAAATAAAGAAAAAAGATTCGGTGTTTTTCCTTGAAGTTAGCACCACCTAAATTTTAGCTTTAATTATTTGTTGAAATAAAAAAAAACTGAAATTTATGTGGAGCGAATTTCAAAAAAATATATATATACTATCAAATAAGCTAAATAATAAGTTGCGAGTTAACCATCCAATACGAAAATATTTGGTTGGATTATGTTATGCCATTAATTCAATATTATCATTTATATTTTAGATTTATTCAAATATAAAATATATTATTATTTTCATTTAACTAATTCTATAAAATTGAAAATGGTTAAATAAATTAATAACTGAAACTGAACTTATCATTGACTAAAAGTAAACTAATAAATTTAATAAGATATATTTTCTATTTTTTTAAAAACTGAAATAATTGTTGCTGAGTAAATTTGTAATCAGATTGGGTTCTATGAGTAGTGATATTTTATTTTGTTTACATAAAATGATAATTTTAATTCTTTTCCCATTTATTTGTTATTTTCTTCCATACAAAGAAATTTATAGGAAATTCATCCCATAAACTAAACCTTTCTATTAAAACTATTTTTTTTTTGTTATGTTCTATTAAAAAATAAACATTATTCTAAGAATAAGTAGTATTTTTAATTTTAATAATTTTATTAACCTATAAAGAACCTCCGAGATTTCCTAGAGGTAGCTTTCCTCACACACCGTCACGGCCGCTTGTCTCCAAGTTGTCTTGGGACTCGTCGACGATGCACACATATATTTACTTATAACATTTATATATTCTTCTCGTAGCCGAACCAGAAAATTTCCAGAGAGATAATCAATTGCAGAAAAACTGAATCTTGTTGTTGAAAAAGAGCACCCATAAACTTGTTTCTCAATTCTCTCGTTTGGCCCTTTTCTTCACAATCTGCGGATATAAATAAGCATCTTCTCGTCCTCTAATAAGCCAATTCGATCCAAAAGCTCTCGTCTTTTCTCTGCGTTTTCCGGTGTTCATATTCGAGGTAGGAATAAAAGGGTTTTGCTTAGATCGTTTTTGTTTTGTATGTTCTTTCATTGCTTTATGATGAGATCTGTTGTTCATGTTTCTAAAGTTTTGTGTTTTTATTTTGATGAATCTGCATTTGTTTTTTTGTTGGTTTAAAACAAAGAAAAGGTCTAACCTTTTTTTTGTTTGATGTGAGATTTAGAGAAAAAGTTAATTTTGTTGTTTGTTTTATTTTGATCTCTTATTTGTGTGCCATTGCTCAGGCTGTGTTGTGTCTTCTTGGAGGCATAGAAAATCTCTATGGTGAGCCTTTGTTTTTTGGCGCGATTCACTTCGTTGCTCTTCTTGGTTCATAGATTTCTCACATTTGTTTGATATGTTGTCAATAGGGAGAAGCACCAGCTTTCTTTGTGGATCATCTGGAGAATGGATACACCAATGGCTTTGGTGTCAAATCCGAGCCTAAGAACAGAGATACGTCTGTCCAAATTGGGGATCGATCCGTAAGTCTCAACCTTTATGTTTTAGAATGTGAAACTGTTCTCAATACGTCGACTTTGATTTGATCTGAGGTTAATCTTTTGCAGTTTGTGATTGGTGGAAATCATGAAGGAAACCCATTGTTCCTTGGTGTTCAGATTCATGACAAAATCACTAACAAGTGGTGTGTATTAATTATATCTTCATCTTTTAGTTTTTCCCGTTAGTGTGGAATCTTAAGGATTTGAAGTCAATTTGTTTTTTTTTTTCAGCTCTAGTCCTACTGTTCTTGGGACAGGCCCTAAACCCTGCAAGGGTTACTCTGCCATTGTTCTTCCAAAAGGTCGGATTTTGGTTATCAAAAAAGGCTCAGCTTCTGATGACTCCATTTGGTTCCTTGAGGTTAGTATATGGAGAAGAATGATATTGCTTGATGTTGTTAGTGTAGAGTTTTTGGTGTTCTCATTCTCATGTGTTTGATTATTCATATAGGTGGATACTCCTTTTATCCGGGAACAAAAGAAATTGCTTGGAAGAGAGGTTGTTGCTTGGAGTAAAGGAGTAAGGGGAAATGCTGAGAAGCCTATTGTTATAAGCGGTCCTTCTGGAGTTGGAAAAGGAACACTTATATCGATGCTTATGAAGGAGTTTCCTTCAATGTTTGGGTTCTCTGTGAGCCATACAACTCGAGCTCCAAGGTGTATGGAGAAGAATGGTGTTCACTACCATTTCACTGATAAGACTGTTATGGAGAAAGAAATCAAAGACGGGAAGTTTCTCGAGTTTGCATCTGTTCATGGTAATCTATACGGAACCAGCATTGAATCCGTTGAGGTTGTAACCGATTCAGGAAAGGTAATAAAAAGATAATCTTTGTATCATCTCTTTCATGCCGTTGATCCATCAAATGATCATATTTTTTGGTGTGTATAGAGATGCATTTTGGACATTGATGTTCAAGGAGCGAGGTCAGTGAAGGCGAGTTCACTGGATGCGATATTCATATTTGTCTGTCCTCCTTCAATGAAGGAACTTGAAGATCGACTTCGTGCTCGGTAAAAATCAGACATTAGAGTTGTTTTTTTTCTTTAGATTTTTCATTGCAAGTCCTCAAATTTAAGTGCTGAAAAAACAGAGGAACCGAGACAGAGGAGCAGATCCAAAAGCGGCTTAGAAACGCTGAAGCAGAGATCAAAGCGGGGAAATCCTCTGGCATTTTTGAACACATTCTGTATAATGACAACCTTGAGGAATGCTACAAGAACCTTAAGGTGACTTAACCCACCTTTTGTTATGAATAAATTCCTCTTAAACCACTTACATTTGAAACAACTATGGCTCTCTGTTTCAGAATCTCTTGGGGATAAACGACCTTGCTCCTGTGAATGGTGTAGAAGGTAATAAATCCAAAGAGTAGACACAATGTATACTAATTAAGTAGGAAAGGAAGTCTGATGATTTTTGTGCTTGTTTGATAAAAGCAGTAGAAGGGATCGATCTGCCCAAGGAGCACACAGTAACAAAGATGGATGACAAGATTTTGATTCAAGAAACAGGAGAAGGAACCAAAAACAAAATGTACACGATTTTAACCTAATGTTCTTTCTTATGTTATCTAGATGATTTCTCTGTAGAGTTTATTAATGAAACGTCTTTTGGTGGGCAGGATCGTGTTGGATCTATCTTCAATTAACGGGGGAGCACCGGGAAGAACAAGAGGGATCGTTCTGGACACGGTTAAGTCCAGTTGACAATGAGTCTTTTTATTTCGCTGCGGGAAGCTAAGGAGGAAACATTTAGATGATGATGATGAACATTGCTCGTTGTTTTATTATGACTGTGGTTGGAAGGTAGTGTTATGCGATCACTAGATAGGCACTGATGATGATGATGATTATGGTTCTTATGATTATGATGATTCAAGAAAGTCATCATCTCTTCTGAGAGATGATGGAATAAGGTTTTTTTGTTCATTTTACTGATAAAGATTTTGTTTAATCTAAATCTTGAAAGAAGTTTTTGGTGTTATTATGACATAAAAATTACCAAAAAGTTGAAATCACTGCAATTGTTTCTTGAGATTCCCCTACTGGAATAGGACAAACAAAGAAACTTCACATCGAAATGGGGATGTATATTTAAAAATTGATCCCACACAACAGTGTTTAGTATATCGTACATGACTCGAGATCTTTCCGGACAAAAGTATGGCAGTTAGTGCCAGTTTACGGTTGAAAATAAGCCAATAATGTAAAAGCAAAGCATCTCAATAAGAGAGATGGAAGACAAAGCTATAAAAAAAAGAGACCAAGTTGTGGGACTTTGGAGCTAAAATGGGTCCTCGAAAGATAGCAACTTGCATTGATTCGTGGGTCCAAAATCGGTGACAGTGTAAATTGAAGGAAGGTTCGTTGTAGCCCTTGTTTGAAAAATCGCTAGGCGCTAGTCGGGCGCTCGGCATGGGCCTAGCGATTAATCGGAAAATCGGATTAAAATCGGGGATTAATCGGGGATTAGTTTTAGGGTTATTTTAATATTTTTAAAACATATTAATCCAATATTATTTTTAAAATTGCAGTAAACACATAAAAATGTATTTTTGAGACAAATATTTATGATTTTTATTAAAATATGAACATAAATTATTGTAAAACATTACAAACTCCCAATTCAAATGATTGAATAACAAAAATAAAAAGTTTTTTTATACTGGCAATCTAAAAATAATCGGGGTATGTAAGATTAAGCGGAGAATAATCGGATTAGGCGGGGAATAATCGGATTAGGCGGAGAGTAATCGGGTGACTGATTTCTTTAAGGGATTAGTCATTAATCGAGGCGGATAGGGTGGGCCTAGCGATTAAGCGGGGAGTAATCGGGTCTAGGCGGGGATTTTTAGAACAGGGGTTGTAGCCCACCACAGCTTCACTTTACTTAAAAGAAAATAATTAAAGATTATGCACTTATGGTCCAACTCCATCCCTCTCACGTCCTACTCAACCACACACACTTGTCACGTGCCAGTGTCACGGTGACACTCTGTAATCTGTACTACCAAGTAGACTGACGCGTGTGGCTCTCACGCGTAGGTAAAGGTATCTCTTCTGGGACCAACCCAAATCTACTATGTTAAGCTTTTGATGCAGCAGGTTCAGGTTGGGTCAGACGAAAAATGGGAATGAAACTATGTTGGGCCTAAAGAAAGCCCAAAACGGAATTAGGGTCCAACTAAGCACTGCTCGTTGACCTGAACACCAAAGAAGCCGTAGGACAAGAAAGTCTAGTGGAGGTCCAAACAGAAGACAACGAAGACATGTTCTGTGACCTATGAGTTATGCAATCAGAAGATTTCATACCAGTTTTAGGAAATGAATCTCGGTTATAAGGTGTCAAGAAGAGTTCTTTGCATCTAACAAGTATAGCCAAAGAGCTTTAGTAACAACTGTCGACTGCATAAGGATCATAACAGTATAACACAATCTATGAGGTGAGCCTTAGCTACTACAAATAAAATCAGGAACTGACCAAAGCATGATGATCTGAAAATGTTCTGCGATCCTAGCAATACAACCAATTAACTTGGAGCAGTTTGACAAGAGAGATGTTTAGCCGAATCAAATAAGCCAAGCCTGTTCCTTTGGACCAGATAGGTTCTTTCAAAAGATATAGATAGTAGCAGTGTAAGAAAAAACAGAGCTAAACAAATTAGAAAGAAGAAGAAGAAACAGAGCTAAACAAATAAAACAAATGCGAAAGAAGAAGATTTACTCAGACAACTATCCTCAGAACAGCTTAGTGTCTCCAAATATGTAACTGTTTAAGACTAAGGATAATCATGAGACAACAAAGGTGCAAATACTAAGTTGCTAAGCACAAAAACTGCTGAAAATCTTGTCTTTGAAAGACTTGACATCCTAATTAACAAACACTGGCATTCTCAAATACAAAAATCTCAACTTTGATGATCACCCATTGCACCAAATTTATCCAGTAATCATAGTTCCAGCTCCTTCATCAGACATAATCTCATGAAGCAGAGAATGTTGTCTCCTTCCATCAATAATACTAGCCGTCTTAACTCCTTGAGCAAGAGACCTTATACAACACTTGACCTTAGGAATCATCCCACCAGCAACTTTACCATCTTCAATCATCTTCTTCACTCCTTTTATATCAATCTCCTTCACCAAACTACTCGGATCCTCTTTATTCTCCAAGATTCCAGCTACATCAGTCAGCAGAATCAATTTCTCAGCTCCAAGCGCCGCCGCAAGCTCTCCAGCAACTGTATCTGCATTGATATTGTAAGCTTGACCAGAATCATCAGCAGCAACAGAGGCAATCACTGGAATGTAACCGTAATCAACGAGCGGACGTAACACAGATGGATCTACTCTTGCAACTTCACCAACGAAACCTAATTGAGCTGAATTGGGGACAGGTCGTGCAGTGAGAAGACGGCCGTCGTGTCCTGATAACCCCACGGCGGTTGCTCCGGCGGCGTTAATAAGCGAAACTAGATTCTTATTAACCTTTCCGACTAAAACCATAGAGACGATCTCCATTGTTGTTGCGTCGGTGACACGAAGTCCGTCACGAAACTCAGCTGGAATGTTGAGTTGTTTCAGGTAACGGTTAATATCAGGACCACCACCATGAACGAGGATCGGACGAAGACCAACGCACGCGAGGAGCACGAGATCGCTTACGACGGAGGATTTGAGCTCCGGCGAAGTCATTGCTGCGCCGCCGTATTTGACAACTATGGTTTTACCACGGAATTTTTGGATAAACGGTAAAGATTCAGAGAGAATCTCCACTCTATAATCCGGTGAAGGTGCATTTCCGGTTGCAATTGAAGGTGGTGTTGATACGGTGGCGTTTATCGATAAACCTAGACGGTGATGGTTCTTGCGAGGTGGATAGTTGAGAGATGGTGATTTGTTGGGGATTAGTGATTTCAGAGGATTGGAAATAGAGAAGGAGAAGGATTTAGGTGAAGCATTGGATGTGACGGTGGCCATATCTGAACCTTACCGGAGGAGGAGGAAGCGGCGGCGAATGAGCTGAAGCGAGATGATCTCTCAGATCTTCTTCGACGATTTCAGTTAAACAACAAAATGAACCAATGATTAATGTCCACGTGGAGCGTAGACACAAAGATGCTGTCCTAGCCCTAAGTTTAAACGACGACGTATTTGTGCGTTGTTCTGTCCCTCTTTATCTTGTACATAAACGATGTCGTTTCATCTTGCAGCGGGAAATATACAGAGCTCGACTTTTTCATTCTTCGTCGTCTCCGCGAGATTGCTACAACAAATTAGACGGAAATTATCTGGACTTGCCGATAATTCAGTCACAGTGAAATGGAGCGATTGGAAGAGGAATTGATACGAAGATCAGAACCGGAGTCTCTAGTCTCCGTCACTGTAGGTAGGTTCATGAGTACGCTTCTCTCAGCTCGCCCTAAAAAGCTACGAGAGTCTGTTTCCCGTCTTTCTCCTGATTCTCAAAAGGGTTCCTCAGGTTATAGGTGTTTTCATTTTTATTTTTAATTTGTGTTTATGTTTACACATGCTCTTTTGGGGTTTGTGATCTGTTTTTGTTTTCGTTATCGTTAGGCTCTATCGATGAGGCACTCTGGTTTTTGGAAAAGTGCGTTAGAGACGCTGCTCAGAGAGACGAAGCCATGGGTGAAATTCTTGTACCCATTATCGAACATGTAATATCTTAAACCCTGTGAAAACCTTGCTTGATTGTTGTAATGTCCGGTCTTTTATCTTGTATGTTCTTACGGATTGGTTTCTCTACCATTCTTGTTGTTGTTTAGACATTAAGGTTTAAGGATTCTAAGCATGGTAATCCAGCTATGATACTTCTAAATTGGCTATTTCAAGATGAAGTTCTCTTTCAAGCCCTTTCGAGAAATCTTTCGAATATCATTTCTAGGAACGAGGATAGGATTTTAGCGCTTGGATGGTGTTTACTTATCCGACGTCTTGTAGAATGCGACGATACTGGGGATCAAAGTTTTTGGCATGGTGAGCATTATAATCATCCGGCTATCTTTCTTGAAGGAAAGAAAACGCTCTCCTTATTTATGTACTTGTATACTTTTCTTTGTTGACAGGAATTAGGGAGAAACATTCTATGTTTGTGGAGATTGTTTCATCTTGTGTGCCTCACTTGTCGATCATTGTACGCGATGGAAGGTATGCTACTTCTTTGTCAGTGGACAGTGGGTATAAATATCATCTCCTGCTCTCTAATTTTTGTTCTATATGGAGTAAGTCTGTACACTTATATACATTGTCATCTCCACTTTGTTCTGAGCTGTTGTTATTTTGTTTAGCATTTTACAGGATGGATATGAAGTGCCATCTCGTCTTTCTCTTTCTGCTGCTGATTGCTTGCTGTCAATTACTGGAGCCTTAGCAAAGAGGGATAATACTCTGGTCAATAGACCAAAGCCATCAACCATTATGGGGTCTCATCAACCCGTTGCTTTGATACCTCATATTAGCGAGAAGAAAAAAAAGCAGAGTTTTCTACCTGAAGACTTGAACATTGAGGCGAATTGTATACTGTGGAACCACCTGGAGGATCTGACACGCCTTGTACAATGTCTCTTTGCTGTATGTTCACTGATCCTTCTATTATGCTCGACCTGTGTTCAAAATTTTGAAGTGATGAAGTTTATCCTTGATTTGATTTGAGTCGAGTAATATTGACAAAAAATTCCTTTCAGTGGAACAGAAAAACTCGACTACTGCATGCAAAGGGGTTAAGTCAAGTGCTGAAGTGGTTAATTGAGTTGAAAGAACATCATGGTGGCTCCCAAAAGGAAGCAGGTCTTTGACTAATGCCGCCTGTCCTTGTTCTTTTCTGTTTCTGTTTATGATTCTTGCTTATCAAATTTTTTGTTTTATACCCTGGAATTCAGGCACAGCGGCATCTGCGGGTGGAGCTCTTCTGCTCTCTTCTTGTTGGAGGCATTACAGTGTCTTGCTCCACATGGAAGATCAAAA